GATCTGGGTGCTGGTTACATGGTGAGTTCAGTTTTGAAATCACTGAACTATAAAAGTGTGGCATATTCCCTTCTCCATATATAAATTTTACTTCAACAAAAATTTTAAATGCAAGGATGGAAAAAAATAAACTAAGCAGAATTAAAAGTCAGCACACATGTACACAGATTAGAAGTCATAATATTGGCATTTGTAAATGGATTCAAAGAGAAAGATTAAATTAGAAAAGCTAATTCAAATTGATAAACTACGTAAAGAAGATATAAGGGACATGATTCTTACTTTCTTATAATATCACTAAAATATATAAGGCTAAACCTCTGAGAAATAAAAAATAATAGAAATGAAAGTTTAGTTTTCAATTAGTTCAGATTATCATATAGCATTATTACATGTATAACAAAGTTTGATTAGAATAAATACCTTCTTTTTAAGCCTTACTAGATAGCATGAATAGAGTTTATACTGTGACATGCAAATAAAGACTAATATATTAAAAATGCAAAAACTTTAATCAGTATCATTTTTTTAAATAAAATAATTTTACTTATGCCAATTTATCTTTTGGATTAAAGAATCTTATTTTTAGAAAGATGGCACAATATTGTAGAAAAATTGTGGCCTTTGACAAAATAGCAGCTTTACTGCTGCCTCCTTCATTTACCATCTTTGTGAGTTGAACTAACCACTTATTATCTGAGGCTTAGTTATCTCATCTAGCAATTAAGAGTAACAAAATGCACTTCATAAGAGTTTTTTGCTGAGGATTTCAGAGATTATTTGATGCTATTGGCATATATACAATATTCGTATACATAGAATATAAAAACATGACAATTTTATAATATTAACATCATTAATATTGACAAAAATTAACATCTGAATATTTTTACAAGTATTACTCAAAAAGTTAGGGGAAAGATTCATCAGAAAGTGGTTTATTATTAAATATGTTATGATTCTGTCATATGATAAAATGTATAGCCAATGGGGATAGTAAAAGTTTTAAATAGACTTTAAAAATGATCACCTTCCAGCTTTCTCCTTCAGTTATTCCTAATATAGCATTCTTCTGCAATATTGAGACCTCCATTACAATAAATTTTCTGTCTTTTCCTTTCTTTATTTACCTTCATATCCTAGTTGGATTCTATGGTTTGGGTCATCAGAGACTCTTGTTAATGTCCTATGTACCTATGATTCATTTCATTGCATTCTAGGCTTTTCACTCTTCCGGAGTGGGGAAAAAAACTAAAAGTACTTTTTTTGAGCTCTTAATATCTGCCATGCCTTGTGCTAAACATCAAGATAAAGAAACTCATTTAATATTTACAACAATTCTTAGGCATTTTATTTAGTACTCACAAGAATTATCCCCACAATGTCTATCATCCTCATTTTACAGATGAAGAAGCTAAGATGCTGAATGTGTAAAGACATACATAACTGTCTAGGAGACATCTCTGCTTGCAGTGACAGAATGCCCTAAACTAAGTGGATTCTCTTCATCCTTTTTTTCAAATCTAGAGTGTAAAACAGTTTTTAGCATGAGTCAATCAATAAACTACTGTTGATTAATGAATAAAGTCATTTTCTTCCTGTGATTCCTATTCTAGTAAATAGAATCACTCTATACTCAGCTAAAGTCAGAAATGAAGATGTCATCATTCACTGCTCTTTCTCTTTAATCTACCATATACAATAGATCGCCACAATCTACTCTTTGTAAATCATAGCATTCTTCTTCCATCCACTTCTATCCAACCTCACTAATAATACATCTACACCAACAGAATTTATCGTGTGGATTATTGTATCCCGTTTTTTCTTACTTGTTCTACCTCTTTTCCAATGTGCTCCTCATATTGTAGCAAATAATGTTTAAAGAATGATTATCTGATCACAAGCATCACCTCCATCTTTTATTTCAAATTCACTGTCATTAGGATAAAGTCAAAACTCCTGATGTGAATTATAAGATCCTATGTGATCTGAACCTGCTACCACAGATTCATTGTGTATTGAGATTTCTCTCATAACTTGTTCTAGATATACTATAATTCTTTAGTATCAGTTTAATATAAAATTATTTTTGTTGGAATTAATAATATTTCCTTTTGTCCCATGACTAGTACACATGTTTTCATTTGGTTGGCTGCTTTTGCGTTTGTTTTTTCTCTGCATTTTTTTAATTTTAATTTTTCCAGCTTTATTGATACAAAATTGACATAAATATTGTGTAAATTTAAGGTATAAGTGATGATTTGATATACTTATATATCGCAAAAGGATTACCACTATAGCTATAACTAACATTTCCACCATGTCACATAATTACCAATTCTTTGTATTATGGTGGGAACATTTAATCTACTCTCTTAGAAACATCCAAGTATATAATATAGTATTATTAATTGAATTCATCATGCTATACATTGTCAGGATTTACTTTTCTTACCACTGAAAGTTTGTACCCTTTGACCAACATCTCCTCATTTCTTCCATACCTCAATCGCTGGGTAACCATCACTCTGCTGTTTTTATAAGTTTGGTTTTTTTCTTTTTCTGTATGAGTAGTATCATACAGTATTTGTCTTTCTCTGTTTGACTTATTTCACTTAGCATAGTGCCCTCAGATTAAATCCATCTTGTAAGAAATACCAGGATTTCCTTCTTTCTCTTGGCTGAATAATATTCCTTTATCTATCTAATCTATCTATCTATCTTTCTATCTATCTATCTATCTATCATCTATCTATCTATCTATCTATCTATCTATCTATCTATCTATCTATCATCTATCTATATATTAATCTATCATCTATGTATTTATCTATCTATCTAAACTATCATCTATCATCTATCTATTATCTATCTATCATCTATGTATTCGTTTATCATCTACCTATGTATGTAGCTAGCTAGGTATCTTTCTCACAGCTTTACCCATTTATCTGTTCTTGGACACTTAGGTTGTTTCCATGTCTTGGCTATTGTGAATAGTGCTGCAGTGAATATGAGAGTGCACATAATCTCTTTGAGATCTTGTTTTTATTTTCTCTGGATAAATACCCAGAAGCGGGATTGCTGGATTATATGGTAGTCCTGTTTTTATTTTTTGAGGAAACCCTACAGTTTTCCATAGTGTCAGCACTAATTTCCATTCTCACTGAGAGTGCACAAAAATTCCTTTTTCTCCATATCCTTGACAACACTTTTATTATTGACAAGACATATCATTCGTCTGTTTGATGATAGCCATTCTAACCAGTATGAAGTCATATCTCATTGTGGTTTGATTTCTCTATATGTTTTTCTCTGCTCTTTCTTATCCAAACTACTGTATTGCTTATTCTTTTCATTTTTCAATTCTAAGCTTAAATAGTACTTCTTCTAGGAGGTTGTCCCAGATCCCAGAGGTATTTTCTATGTGCTCCGCCAGCACACTGACATTTATGCAGAAATAATAGTGCTATGTGAATTTATGGCAAATATTTTCTTCTTAGTTTCCACTAGATTTTTATGTTCTCTTAATGAAAAGGACAAAATGAGCAAAGATCTAGATATAAACAAAGTAATTTGAAAACACAACATGGCTGTGTTGTGTCCTTCATTCACATGGCTGTTCATAGGTCCACTGAGATTTTTGTGATTGAAAACTGATTTTTCCAAGGAAACAGAAAAGACAAAATTGTAATTGGAATTTACAAATTGTAGGACTAACAAAGGCACATATGACTCCTGAGAGTAACTGGTATCTACTTGACCTTAGAGATAGACAATGGACAAACATGCATGGATTTCCTTAAATCCTGATGCTGAGGATCTTGAGGTCACACAACCAAGCCCTGGCATCTTTCTATCAGTGAGGCATTTGAGTTTCCATTTTTCTTAACACATCCTTGGAGGGGGGACTGCATGAGATCATTGGTTGAGTGGCTCAGCTACTCCCAGAAAAAGAAGAAAGAGAAGAGAAATCAAAGAATCTCCCAAGTGTCCAGAGAGGTGAAACCCTGGGGAGGTGATTTCTATATAAATAAAATCTCTCACCTAGCCTCTTCAATATTTTTTAAGATGAAAGCCTCTGGACTAAATTTCAAATAAGAGAGAAACAAGTAACCATACTAGCAACAAGACTGTGGAGTGGGTGAATGTCAGGAACAGAAATATGGCATGACTCCTCTCCTTTCTGATCTTAGATGCAGTCAAGAGAAGAGTATAGAAGGATTTTCCAGAGGCCTGTGTAGTGAGACATATGCCACAGAGGTGGGCAAATTAATAGCACAGGCTCTTCATCTTGACAAATGTGTCAAAACAGATCTGCAATTTCTGATTGGGTACCCATAATGGACTTCAGGAAAAGTGTGAATGCTTTTAGGCTAAAGGTGACATTGTCTGTTCTTGTCTATTTTTTTCCATAAAAGATTTATGACTTTTGTTAGAATTTCATAAAACACTGATATTCAATTTGAAAAGAAAACAAAGTTTTCTAACAAAAAAACAATGTATCTGTGTTGATAGTAAAATATAAAATTAAAGTCAAGTTTAAATATATTTTAAAAATCTAGAATCAAACAAAAAGGCACTGTAGCTATGCAATATCATTATTGATTGGCATATAATTATCTTCATTTTTTACTATTATTGCTTCAAACATTTTCTAGCATATACATAATAGTATGGTCTGATGTTTTAAAAATATTTTAAGTCAGAAAATATTAAGCACTATGCTAATATTATATATAATTTAGAAAAACAACAACAACAACAACACATGGTTCCTATTTTTTAGTACAGCCTGGAAATCTCTACTGTTCTACTGCCCTTCTACAAGAAAATAGTTGCAAATCATACATATAACTATTATTCATCAAGTACAGAGATTGTGATTGAGGCTCCTGTAATATATTTTCGTGAGGAGATAGATAGGGTATACTGAAAAATCTGGGTTCCCAGGTTAAAAGTTTTCTAGAAATCTGTTCTTCACCTGTGGACATACTATGTGGCCCAATGTTAGTGCTGCCTCCTTTTTGCTGACTGGCTTCCCAGGCCTGGAGACAGTTCATCACTGGATCTCCATCCCCTTCTTTGCGGTCTATGTCTCTGTGCTTCTTGGCAACGGCACCCTCCTCTACCTCATCAAGGATGACCACAGTCTCCATGAACCTATGTACTACTTCCTTGCCATGCTGGCAGGCACAGATCTGATGGTGACCTTGACCACGATGCCAACTGTAATGGGTGTCTTATGGGTGAATCATCGAGAGATGAGCCACGGAGCCTGTTTCCTGCAGGCTTACTTCATTCATTCCCTTTCTATTGTGGAATCAGGTGTCTTGCTTGCCATGGCATATGACCGTTTTATTGCCATCCGCACACCTCTGAGGTACAACTCCATTCTTACCAAATCTCGCGTGATGAAGGTAGGACTGGGGATACTGCTGAGGGGCTTTTTATCCCTTCTGCCCCCAATTCTGCCACTCGTTTGGTTCCCATATTGTCATTCCCATGTTCTTTCCCATGCCTTTTGTCTCCACCAAGATGTCATGAAACTTGCCTGTGCTGATATTACATTTAATCGTATTTATCCAGTTTTTCTGGTCACTGTGACTTTTTTCCTAGATGCTCTGATTATTCTCTTCTCTTATGTTTTAATTATTAAGACAGTTATGGGCATTGCCTCTGCCAAGGAGCAAGCTAAGGCCTTCAATACCTGTGTCTCCCACATCAGCTGTGTCCTAGTCTTTTATATCACCGTGATTGGCCTGACTTTCATCCACAGGTTTGGGAAACATGCACCACATGTGGTCCACATTACCATGAGCTATGTGTACTTCCTCTTCCCTCCATTCATGAACCCCATTATCTACAGCATCAAGAGCAAGCAGATTCAGCTAAGCATTGTTCACCTGTTTTCTGTGCACAATAGGGCTTGAGCCTTTATTTCAAAATCTTGAGAGCTCCGGGAACCTGGACTTTTTGCATAAGTGAAAGAGATGTGAGTTTTATACCTAATCTTTCTTTTATAACAGTTAGATAGGCTTAAATTATTACATAAATCTACAAGATAAGTCAAGCAGGTATGCAACGAATATAAAGATGTATATTCATATATACATATATAGATGTATATATATTGAAATAAATATGCATATTTATGTATATATAGATATATGTATACTCATATATTCATATGTTCATACATATATTCAGATGGATACAGAGATAGCTATATTGATATATATGTATATATTTATATATGTATATGTATATACAGAGAGAGAGAGAGATTCTAGGAAAGTGGAAAGAATATGGACATAAAGGATATAGACAAATACTCTAATAAGCACAGAAGATAGGACATTTCAGATTCCATATCAATAAGAAGTGCAAGTAATATTTCAGAAAAGGTGAAGTTAAATGTCCATCTTGGGTCAACCACAGCCTATGTAAGGAAAGACTGAAGCTCCATTCTGTGGCTATGCAAAGCTGAACTAGTGCATGTGGATTGAGAACTAATGAGCTCATATACTATATCTCAAAACTACTATATTTTAAAGTGGAATTTGTTTTTCAAGTGATAAAAGTGTTATTTAGAAAGCTTTACATTAGAATCTCCGAATTCATAAATTTTCCTTTGGTTCATTTCATGAATTGATTTATCTGTTATTCTCTCTAAATGTTAAACAGAAACACTCGTGATGTATCTGGTAGATGAAATATTGTCTGATATTGTCTGATCGTGTATTCAATTTATTTTTTATCGCTATAAAGCATAATTACAAATTTTCTGTGGCCTCTTGCAAGTCTCACATTAGACTTGTCTGATCATATTTTTTGGGGGCTAATTTTCATTCTTTTCTAATTGATTTGTAGGAGTTCATTATATGTTATTACTAATGTTTAATTTATATTATAAATTTATTTATTTATTTATTCATTAATTTAATTTTATTATTAGTTTCAAGTATGCGGTACTTTGGTTAGAAGAGGGTAAAAAATTTAAATCAGTCTCATGGACCTGTTTTCATAGCAGTAACAGCAAATTTAATCAATTATTTGGCATATTTTTTAAAGCACTAGTATGGAACAGGCACTTTGCTATGTAAAAATAATATAATTAGATAATATAGTTAGCAGCAGTTTGTCTTTCTATATACATAATTTAAAAGTTGATATATAAATAATTTTATTAAATATTTTATCTATTGACATATTGAGGCCATACTGACAATCTGTTTCCAGATGTATTTATATTTTTTGTTATATGTTTGCATAATTTATTTTCACATATGATAATAGATTCATTCAGAAGAGGGTAAGAAATTTATTTATATTTATTTATTTATTTATTTATTCAATTTTATTATTAGTTTCAAGTATGCAGTACATTGGTTAGAAGAGGGTAAGGAATTTAAATCAGTCCTCATGGGCCTGTTTTCATAGAAGTAACAGCAATATTTAATCATTTATTTGGCTTATTTTTTTAAAGCACTAGTATGGAACAGGCACTTTGCTATGTAAAAATAATATTATTAGATAATATAGTTAGCAGCAAACAGACACAAACCTTTCTTCTTGGAATGTTTAAACAATTAGAGTCAAAAATCAAATAAATTCAAATTTGAAATAAATCTTGTGATTAATAAAACAAGAAAAAATGGCTATGAGACTGCAAGTCTCAAAAGAGACCACATTCTGTCTTGAGGTAAGGGTAAGTTTCCCAGAGAAAGTCTTCCATCAGCTGAAATCTGAAAAAGGATTGGAAATAAACTGATGAAATAGGAATAATGATATTCTAAAAAAAAATTATAGTATATGTGGAGGTCTCCAGCGGGATGAATTATAGAACCACTAGATAGATAGTATGGCTACTTGCAAAGGATGATTACTTGAGAAGCTGAAGATAGCAGAGGTGGCCAGACCACAAACACCCTGTTAGCCATAGTAAGGGTTTGAGTACCTACCCAAAGAGTTTTGGAAAGCTCTTGAAGAAAGTAACACAATTTCATTCAAGTTTTTCAATCATCATTTCAGTATTATGTATAAAATGGATTTGAGGGAGCAGGAGATAAACAGAAGAAATAATGGGAGGGTATTGGAGAAGTTTGAGAAAGAGATAATAATAGCTCAATTTAAGAAAGTGGAGATAGAAGGTAATGGATAGATATGAGACACATTAAGATCTAAATTTAATAAGATACACGGTTTCTTAGAAAAGCAGAGGAAAGAAAGGGAGGAAGCAAAGATAATCCTAAATTCATGTTTTATGCTATTTAAAGAATGGTAGTACTTAGGGGGATTGTTTTATAAACTATATAAATGTCTAACCAATATACTGTATTCTTGAAACTAATAAAATAAAATCCAAAAAATTTATTTAAATCATTGTCAAAAAAAAAGAATGGTAGTATTAATGGAAAGCAATTGTTGGTTATGTATTAAGTTTATAGATAAGAGTAGCAAAATTTTTTTTTAATTCTGGGACTTTCAGAATGAGTCTAAGTGATGAAACTATGATTTAATAAAATGACTGAAAGAAATATTCCAGGGTGTAGGACTGAGCTTTTTAAAACAAAATATTAGTGTATTACTTACTCATTTCCTGAAATCGTGTTTATTATGTAGTTCATTTTGCCTGATGTTAAGAGTCATAGTAAATGCAAGGCATGTGTCAGAGAATGTTAAAAGTTTAGAAGTGCATGGTAATAGAAACAAACTGAACCTGATGATGCCTAAAAGAGCTCATAAAACAAATGCGTCTTGGGGTTCCTATCCAGGAAGAAAGCAGGATAGATCAAGGTTCTTCTTGGAGTGGAGACAGTTCTAAATCAGCAGTCTAAAATATACTGCCAGATATGAGATGACATAAAAATTATATGATGCAATGGGTTAAGACAGAGGATTTGGTACAAATGTAAAAAGGAAGATGGGATGGAGCACTAAAACCTGGATTACTTTCTCAGTAAATAACAATAACATATTGAGAAATGAAGTTCTTTTATAATGGCTTATTTAAATTGCTATTGGTTCAGGACATATCTTCACAGATGCCCAATCATAAATCTTTGAAAATAAACATTTAGAACTGAAAAAAAATCTATACTATCTTCTCTTGGGTGGACTTGTTAAATAAGTTAACCTTTTCAATTATAAAAACAAAATTTAAAAAATCACCTCTACGATCTAAGAGACTTTACGCCGCTATGCTCTTGTGCTTTTGTATGTTTGCACACACATATGAAACAATGATAAATCTTTCAAAGTCTTATTTTATAATTTCTGATCTCAAAATATTCTTTTTATAACTTAGACAATAAATTTAACGAAGTGAAGTGAATATACTGAATTATTTTTATTGAAATGTGTATCTTATGGTTTATATATTAAATATATTTATCTCATGTAAAATTTTCCATCTTAACCATTTTAAGTGTACAATTTCATAAAGCTAATTACATTCACCATGTTGTGCAACCATTAACACTATTTCCAGAACATTTTCACTATCTCAAACAAAAACTCTGTATCCATTAATCCATAATTCCCCATTCTACCCTCCTCCCAGCCTCTGGTAACCTCTATCTATTTTCTGTCTCTATAAATTTGCCTATTCTACATATTTCATGTAAATAGAATCACACGATATTTATTGTTTTATGACAGGGATCTTTGACTTAGCATAATGTTTTCAAGATTTATCCATGTCATAGCCTATATCAGAACTTCATTCTTTACTTGGCTGAATAATATTTTATTTTATGTATCACCAGCCAATGACTGTTGGTGCCAATTCAATGCCAACAGATATACCCATATTGGAATGTGGAGAAGAAAGAAACTTTATTCACAGCTCAATTATGAGATAGCACAGCTATGGAACAGCATGACTATGAGACAGCTCAATAGTATTACAACTCAATTATCAGACAGCAAAGCTGTGGAACAGCACAAATGTGAGGCGGCCTTCAGGCAAGGTGGCCCTTGGGTGGGGCCTCTTGGTGGCTAGATATCTCTACCCTGCTCTGGTCAGGTCCGCTCTGTTCTGCCCGTTCTGTTCTGCCTGCTCTGCTCTTGTCTGGTTGGCTGAGATGTCTTTGGTGTTTCAGGTCCAGCTGGGGAAACACAGTCCTCAATCTTTGGCCGAAAGGGAAAGTACACTCTCTGAGCTAGAGGTGTGCTGACTTATATAGAGAGAATTCCCCTTCCCTGGTTTCTGATTGATTCATTCTCACGCAAATCCTCAGTTTTACTAGTCCAAAAAGCACTGCTCTGATTGGTCAGAGTAGAGCTTCTCTGATTGGTCAGTAAAAATGCTAATGGTATATTGCTGTACAACTCTAATAAAGATGGGGAAAGTCTCAGTCCTACTGGTTGAAATTTGATTCCAGGAACTCCTTTACTGGGTTGGCTCAAATGGCAGAAACACAGTGTAGGCAGGCAGTTTAGTGTGAGAAGCAGGCAATTTAGTGTAGGTTTCTCCCTGAAGCATGGCTAAATGGAGGCCCATCAATAACTTGACAATGAAATATATTGAACAAATTAGAAAAACAATAATCAAAACAATTAGCAATTCAGACCTTAAAATATCTCAGAGCCCAGTTGGGAGCCAAGTGAAAATGTAAGAAAATTTCAATTCTAACCAACCATCAACACTAGAAGCAAAACTGGAATGCCCCTTAAGGGATCTGGCAAGAATAAAGAGTTCGGTTATTTCTAAATCTACCTGAGAAGGTGTATTCATCCAGATACAGCAAGAGGTACTGGCTATGGCACAAACTCCTCCTTGGGCTGTGAGCACATGATTAAGTGTGACTCTGTTGTTAAAGACTACTTGTGCTAAGGAGTCAAAAGATGTTAGCTGGGCTCGGATGACTGGCGATTGAGTGAGAGATTCGATTGACAGCTCTAGTTAGGTTTCACATCATTATATCTA